TACCTTTGATCTAGCACTCAGGAAGTGGCAGGTGGATCTCTTGAGTTCGAAGCCAGCCTGTTCTACAGAGCAAGTCCAGGACAGCCAAGACTACACAGAGAAACCCTGTCTAGAAAAAACAAAACAACAACAAAAGCCCTTCAGTAGTGCTTTTAGAGTCTAGAGCAGTAGTTCTCAACCTGTGAGTCGCCTAAGACTACCAGAAAATACAGATATTTACAATTCATAATAGCAGCAAAATTAGTTATGTAGTGGCAATGAAAATAATTTTATGGTTGTGAGTTTTATGAACTGTATTAAAAAGATTGCAGCATTAGGAAGGGTGAGAACCACTGCTCTAAATGCTTCTCAGCTCACAATAAGACTACATCTGATAAACCCCTGAGTGGAAAGTAAGTAAACAATACATTTGATGCCTCATGCTACTGACTACTGTGCCGAAAGTAAAGAAGAAAATGGTTATGAGCACACGTTTAAAAGGAAAAAGAAGTTCGAGACTGCACTTGATAATGGGTTTTTCTCACATGCAGCCGGAAGTTTGTGCTGCAGCATAATGGGGAATTAAGCATTGGTGTAGGGTCAGACCAAACTGGTTTTGAATTTGTGTCTTCCTGTCATGGCCTCTTTGGTGCTGGGGTTATTGGTATATGCTTTATGTGCTTGCTTTAGACAGGATCTCACTCAGACAAGCTGTGTAGCAAGAATGACATTGAACTTTGAGCTCCCTGCCTCTGGTCTGATGGTGGGTCAGCTAAGTTGTTGGAGCCTTTTAACTGCCACTGCTTCTTTTCCTTCCATTTGTAATTTTGAAAAACTAAAAGAATAGGATCATGGACATTTTACCCGGACTCACAAATTCTGTTTGTTTGGGTTTTGTTTGTTTGTTTTTTGTTTTTTTTTTTGCTTTTCGTTTCCCCCTCCTCTCTGCTGTGGTGGTGGGTTCAGAAGGTCTCGCACAAGAGTGCAGGCTGCCCTGAAACTCATAGTGTAACTCAGCCTGCCCCTCCTGCTTCAGCACTCTGTACTGGGATCACAGGCATGAGCCAGGGGCTTTCTCTACCCTATGTAGAGCGTTGCAGGCATCACGATCACGTTCACTCTGTACCTAGTAGAGGCGTTTAGGACATCAGTATCTTCTCAGAACCACCGTTCTCACATCCAGTAGATACGGGTGCTACCATGTCTATTCTGAGGCTGTTTCTCTCTCCCTGCTTGTTTCAGTGTCCTTCATCATTCTCAATTCAAGATACGCTCAGTCTTTACTATATCTAGTTGTTATGGGTCTTCAGTCTCTTTTGGGCTGTAACAGTTCATGTTCCCCTTGAATGAATGGTTTTTGAAACATCTAGGACAGTTGACTAGTTTTGCCATGTAGCTCAGGTTGGCTTTGAACTCAGATCCTCAAGCCTCAGCCTCCTGCCTGCTGACATTGCAGGTGTGCACCGCCACTCCTTGCCCATAGCTTGAATTTGTCTGGCTGTTTCCTCATGACTAGTTTCAGATCAGATACCTGAAATATTTCTTGGAGAATAAATACTGCTAATGCATTTGAATTGTCTTTCAAAACTAAGAGGCCAGCCTTGGGTTTGAATCCCAGCACCATGTCAGGAGTATTCAGACTTAAAATCGTAAGACTCCAAGAAGACTACCACAGTGAAAAATGATAAAGGTTGTGTGAGTCCATGCCTGAGACCCCAGCACAAATTCAGACCTTCCCAGGACAAAATAAGAAAGAATAGATCCTGCTAGGAGGTACATGGCCTATTTGGCAGATGAGACTTATAATGGACCACAGAAAGCTGGCATTGACTGTGTGAAATAAAAGACAGTTCCTTGAAGGCAGAGGGACTGTTCAGATTTGCTATATATGCAAGAAATAACTGGTCTATAGTTGCACTAAAAGGTGATAGTTGAGGCAGAGGGGATATTGAAAAGTAAACCAAAAGGTTAAAAACACTAGTGGGCTGTTCCAGAGTAGGGGCTCAGTCTCTGTGGCCTTTTGGAGGTAGGCTGAGTGTGGTAGCAAATACCTTTAATCCCAGCACTCAGGAATCGAGACGGGCAGATTCGAGGCCAGCCTGGTCTATGTAATGAGTTCCAGGACAGCTAAGTGTTATTATTTTTTGTTTGTTTTTTTTGAGACATGGTCTCTATCCCCCATACTAGTCTGAAACACAGGCAGTCCTGTCTGGTTTTAAATTATGAGTAATCCTCATGCCTCAGACTCCCAAATACTACAGTTATAGGTGTGAACTACCATAACCAGTTCAGGTTTATTAGGTGCCTCAAGACAGACAGGAAAGTATATCAGAAAAAATATTCCTAATTCAAGACGGAATAAGAACCTCTTGTGCTATCATTGATGTTCTTAACCTATTTCCTAAGGAGTAAAGTCCCTTGGGCTACACTGCTGTCTCATTAGGGTATAGAGAAGACAAGACAAACTGTAGAGAGGGGCCACCAGTCTTACAAAGGTAGGTGTGTGGCAAGGACATTTGGTCAGACATTTAATTCTTCCTCTGTCCCTGCTTGACAGATGCTGAGGGTTGGGAAGGCAAAAGCAGATGTGTGGCCCAAAACTGCTCCAAAGAAAGGTGAGAGCCGGGCAGAAGAGGGCAAATTTGGACTTGACCCTGTCAATAAAAGCTCTAGAATTTTAACATGTCTTTTTAGATGAGAATAGCTTGGTTCCTCCTGCCCCTGTGGACAGTGATGGAGAGAGTGATAATTCTGACCGTGTTCCTGTGCCCAGTTTCCAAAATTCCTTCAGCCAAGCTATCGAAGCAGCCTTCATGAAACTGGACACACCAGCTACTTCAGACCCCCTTTCTGGTAAGGACAGGAAACTCCTCGCAGAGCTCAGGCTTAGCCACACACTGCCGTTCCTGCCTGTGTTGGTGGCAGGTAGCAGTGGTTGGTTAGTCTCTTGAGTCTTTCTCATCTCTTGTCTTCAGCATTTTAAGTGTCTACACATGCCACACAGGACTTAGTCCCATCCCAGGTTAGTTCTTGAGGTCCAGAAGTGGGATCATGAGGAATTCTTACGTGTATGATTATGAGTGTTTTGCCTACATGTATGTATGTGTACCATGTGCATGCCTAGTGCCTGTGGAGGTCAAAGAGGAGATTAAATCTCGTGGAAGTGAAGTTGCATACAGATGGTTGGGAGCCACCTTGTGGGTGCTAGGAATCAAACCTGCTCTGTAAGAGCAACAAGTGTTTCTTAACCACTGGGCCACCTCCAACCTGTACACTGCAAAATCACGAGCAGGTCAGGGCAGTTGTAGGCCTGAACCTCAGAGCCATGTGCTCATTCGGCAGGGATATGGGGTGGCAGTGTGATCCCAGAGCCTGCTGTGAGAACGCGGGTGGCAGGGCAAGCTAAGTGCACTCTCGCTGTTTCCCCTCAGAAGACAAGGGAGGGAAGAAAAGGAAGAGGCAGAAGCAGAAGCTCCTGTTCAGCACCTCGGTCGTCCACACCAAGTGACACTACTCGCCCAGGCACCGACTCCATCTCTTTTCTTTTCTGTGCTTTTGTTTTGCTGCTGTAATTTTTAAGTATTTGAGTTTGAACAGATTGATTAGCTTGGGGCGGGGGGAGGGGGTTTCCACAATGTGAGGGGGAACCAAGAAAATTTTAAATACAGTGTATTTTCCAGCTTCCCGTCTTTACACCAAAATAAAGTATTGACACTCACAAGAGTAGCCTTCCTGACAAGCATAGCTCATTTATAGTCTTTTTGATTCAGATGTTAATTTTCTCAACCCAAAGTGAGCTTGAGTAGTTCCTCCAATGTTTTTTGGAGCAGCTCAGATGGTACAGCAGTGTGCTCTGTGAGGCACCATGTGTTTGGGCTTCCTGTCTTACCAGCATAATTTTATCAACTGTCAAGTTCTCCTTGTCAAATACAGAGGGTTAGGAGTAAGCAGATTGAGGATATCCAGTTTAAACTGAAATTGACCACCAACACCTAGGCTTAGGGAACTACTGTGAGCTCAAGGCCAGCCTGGGTGGCTATAGTAGAAAAAAGCCAACAATAACAACAAAAAGGAAGTTTTTCTTCTGGTAATTGGCTGTGCTATGGCTAGATTTCAGCTGGCAGTGAGACCAGGTCACCTACACTTGGCACGTACATGTGAGGAGGGGTTGCACCTGTTGACTCTGTGTAAAGAAGCTTATAACCTTTACCACAGAAGCTCTGGGTATTTTGTCTGCAAATAAATCTGTGTGGAGTTACATTTGTTTGTGAGCCTCCATGTGTGTGCTAGGAATTGAACCCAGGTCCTCTGAAAGATAAAGCAGTGCTCCTAACCTCTGAGCCATCTCTCCAGCTCCTGACCGCAAGCTTCTTTTAAGTGACTGGTTTAATGGAGGCATAGACTGAGTCCATAACCATCACGGGGAGCATGGCAGTAAGTAACAGGTACTAGAGAAGCAGCTGGCAGCTTACCTCTGATCCGCAAGCAGGAGGCAGATAGCTAATTGGGAATGGTATGGGCTTTTAAAACTCCAAACCCAACCCCACCCAATCCTTAAAGCTGAGGACCAAAGTATTCAAATATATTGGAGCCAATCTCATTCAAACCAACATACCTCCCAAGTACTAGGATTACATTCATGTCTCACTGGGGCCAGCTGAAAGCCACATTTCTTGTCAAGTCACCCTTATAGGTTAATCAAGTGTAGTTACTAGTTATTTGATATTCTGCATAAATCCACCCCACCCCCAATGCTTTCTCTGTGTAATCCTGGCTGTTCTGTAACTCAACCTGGCTGATTTGAGACCAGGCTGGCCTTAAACTCAGAGATCTGCCTGCCTCTGCCTCACTCAGTTAATGGGTATGCCATCACACCTGGATTTGCATGAGTTTTTATATTAAGGGTCTAGGAATACTTAAAATTCACCTGAACCACATACGGAACACATTCAAGTCAAGTGCTACAGAGGATAGAGACCTCCTGACTAAGCAACTATTTAAGCACTGGGAATTTGGGAATGTTGCTCTGGAAGCTAAGAACATTTATTACACCTATGTAGCCAAGCAGTTACATACAAAATGCCCATTCAGAGCTTTCACGACCATGGACAGAGGGTAAGGCAGCAAGCCGTCTGGGCTGGTCACCTGTGCTCTGGCTGGCTGTCAGCTGGAAAATTATGGAATGCCACTGCCTTCCATAATGCCTTGTTCCCAAAACTGGGCCTGGAAAAAGGGTCACTCCATTGCTTCAGCAACCTCTTCACCAGCACTGTCTGAAAGCTCTTCGACAGACTCTTTCTCCAGCAGACAGCTTCTTGAGACAGACTTCTTGATGGCTTCCCGCTCTCCTAAAGGAAGGAAGGAAGGATGTCCTGGGCATTGTCTTCCAGACTGAGCCTCAGTTAGTGATTGCACTGGCCTCCTGTTACTTACCTTCATCAGTGCAATTCTGCAACAAGATCAACAGCTGTCTCCGGTTGTACTGAATCAGGAACTTCTGACAGGTTCTAATTGTACCTGGCACATGAAAGAGCTTTTGTGGATAACAGCTTATGAAACTGTCTTTTGGGGGTTGGGAGGAACACCCTGTTCTCAGTGGATAGCACAGTGACCCGCCCACCTACCAAACCTGTTACTTCATGAAAACAACCACCATAGACCAGCTACCACCATTCATACCTCCCACATGTAATGTGTTGAAAAAACATGGGTAACGGTGTCCTTTGTTCTCCAAGTATGTGATGAAAGGAAGAGCTGACCACATAAGCTGGTAGAAATCCTTCCGGCATCGAAGTAGCACTACTCCGGTGTAGGCATTGAGGTACCGAACTACAGTAGGAAGGGAAAATTGGAAAACTTCCCATCACATTTTTTTTTTCCGAGTTTTTTGGTGGTGTCCTGGAACTCAGTCTATAGACCAGGCTGGCCTCAAACTCAGAGATCCGCCCTCTTCTACCTCCCATGTGCACCACCATAGCCTGTCAGGCGTTCACAGAAAATGTTAAAAACCAGGAAAAACCCTACCCTAGACAAATGTCACCTGGGAGGATGCATTACAGTACAGATTTTGTTTTGCCTGCACTGATGTGCCTGGTGTTAGGGGAGGCCACAAAAGGGTGTCATCCTCTGGGACTGGAGTTACAGACTCGGGAGCTGCCACTTGGTCCTGAGAATGGAATCCTGATCCTCTGAAAAATAGGCAAGTGCTCTTAACCCTCGAGCCCTCTCTCGAGACAGTAGGTCCACCCTGGCTGGATTGGAAACCACCTCTGCCTCCTGAGTGCTAGGATTAGCGCACGGGCCACTGTGCCCAGCTTGAAAGAAATGTTAGGGTAAACCTGATGTCAAGTAGCCGCTGTCCATGCAGGTCAGTAAATGGAGAGAGACGATCCTGTTATTAACACAACAGGAAAACAAGTGTCATAACAACTGGGATATGTAGGTCCCTCTTAATGTACTTTCACCCAAAGCAAGAAAGCTTTGTTTATGTTTAATTTCTGTAGAATTCAAGTTGGAGCTTACAGTAAAAGCTAAAAAGTGGCATTCGGAGAAAAGGCTTTCATCCCGTGTTTCCATACGAGAATTCCTCTGCACCTTGCCCTCGGAGGCGCTTTAAACTTTAAGGGATAACCAGCCGGGCACAATGATGCACACCTGTGCCTGTAATCCCAGCACTCAGGGAGGCAGAGGCAGGCAGAGCTCTGAGTTCAGGACAGCCAAGGCTACACAGAAAAACCCTGTGTCGAAAAACAGAAAAGAAAAAAAAAAAAAACTTTAAGAGACAAATTTGACATTTTAAAACGTGCAAGGGTTAAGAGGTTAGGAGCACTGGCTGCTTTTCCAGAGGTCCCGAGTTCAATTCCCAGTAACCATATGATGGCTCACAAACCATCTATAATGAGATTTCATGCCCTCTTCAGGTGTGCAGACATGCATGCAGGCAGAATACTGTAAACATAATAAATCTTAAAAACCATAACCAAAAAATACCGTGCTAATGTGACCTGTCAAATCGTGGCTCTTATGAGGAATTCTATGGGGCTACTTTCACTTAGCCTAGTACATTCACACCCCCACTAATACGGACAGTAAACAGAATCCTCCCGACACACACACCCGGGGCTAGGTATTGAACTTTCTGCCTTTGTGATTTGGACTCCCGCACTCCGTGGCTCAGGGGCTCCAGGCTTCTCTAGAGCTCTCCAATAGCGTGCAAGACGCGGCACTCAGGCCGGGTCTCTCCTGCAAACCGCCCCCACGCTCATCCGCGGCGCCCTGGTACCTGCAAAGCCCACGGAGCAGGCGGCGGCGCCAAAGGCCCCGTGCACCCGGGCGATAGTGTCACGGACGAGCCCGCTCAGCACGCGGTCGTCCAGGTTCAGGCGGCAGCGCGCGTCCTCGGACACCAGCTCGCACAGCAGGTACCTGCGGCGAACGGCAGCGGTGAGAGCGGGCCCCGCACGCCGCGAGCGAGCGCGCGGGGACGCCGCCGCTTACCTGTGCTTGAACCGCACCATGGCGTCCGCGCCGGATGCCGGAGGGAGGCGGGACTGGGCCCGACAGGCCGAGGGGCCTGTCAATCTCCACGCTCCGCCTCCCGCTGGGAGCGCACGAGCGCGTGCGTCCGCATCCTGCCGCTGCTGGTGATTGGCGCTGTGGAACGGGATTCCTGGACGCTTGTATTCCCCACGTGGATTTTTGAGGACAGCCCTGCGCTGAAAGCCTGAGTGTGTCGCGGGATTGTAAGCAGAGGTTTTGCCATACAGCCAAACGCGATAATTCTCTTACGGGATTTCGACAGTTTTGTGGCGGTAAGTTTGCAAAAACAAGACAGTACTCTCCGTCCCTCCTTTCCTTCCTTGACTTTTTTTCACAAACTAACCCCAGACTGACTGTGTAGCAAGAATGACCCCGAATTTCTGATCCCTTTGCCTTTTCCTACCAAGCACTGGAATTACCAACGTATGTCACCCTTTATTTTCTGTTAAAAATAGATTGTTATTTAACGAGTTTTTCTAACCCATTCACTTGAGTATCTTTGATGTGTGGTTTGTTGTTGTTACTATTATTGTTGTTGTTTGATTTTTAGAGACAGGTTTTTCTCTATGTAGCCTTGGCTATCCTGGAACTTGCTCTGTAGACCAGGCTGGCCTCGAACTCAGAGATCCGCGTGTCTCTGCCTCCTGAGTGCTGTGGTTAAAGGCATGTGCCACCATGCCCATCTATTTTTTTTTATTTTTTTAAACCTTTTTTTAAGATGTATTTATTATACAGTATTCTGCCTGCATATGGGCCTGCATGCCAGAAGAAGCCACCAGAATTCCTTACAGATGGTTATGAGCCACCATGTGGTTGCTGGGAATTGAACTCAGGACCTTTGAAAGAAGGTGTCAATGCTCTTAACCTCTGAGGCATCTGTCCAAGCCCTGCTTTAAAAACAAAACAAAACAAAAAAAAACACTGGGGTCTTACTCTAGGCTTGGAGTCAGAAGCCTCCCAAGGGCTGGGACTACAGGGGCGCACCACCAGGCTAGGTTCACTTCACTTACCTTATCTGGTAAGTACCTTTTTGTGGTTGTTGTTGTTGTGTTGTTTTGTTTTGTTTTTTTTGAGAGGAGTTTCTCTGTGTAGCCCTGGCTGGCCTTCCTGGAACTCACTCTGTAGACCAGGCTAGCCTTGAGCTCAGAGATCCGCCTGCCTCTGCCTCCCAAGTGCTGGGATTAAAAGACCTGGGCGGCCACCACCAGCCTAGTGAAGCAGATCTGTGTGAGCACCTCCCTATTAAGGTGGAAGTAAGCTTCAGTAAGCTATACACTCCCAGGCCCTCGGCAACGCCCTTGGTGAGAAGGAGCCATCACTCCCAGTTCTGTAGTGGTAGGTTCTCAGCCTGCCTGCTCCGTGCAGCGTGGCTGTGTGTCTGCCGCTGCCTTGCTGCATTTTCATGTCACCCGTCCCGCTACAGACACTCCTCCTCCTCGCCTGCTCAGCGTTACACTGTGTAAATGCATGGACCTGGACCACATACGCACTGTCTGCAGATCTTCTTGTTAGCCTGGCTTTCTTGGTGCCTGGCCTTGTAGCAGGGTCATCTTTTTTTTAAAATTAGATTTATTTATCTGTTGCATGAATATGTAAAGCTGTGCACTTGCCGCAGCTGGAAGGTGGAGATCAGAGGACAGCTTTTGGGAGTTGGGTTTCTTTTGCGTGTGGAACCCCGGGGATCAAACCCAAGCTGTCAAATTTGGCAGCCAGCGCTTGCACCTCTCTGTGACCTTAGTTATTTGTACAGCTGTCATGGCCTCGCTGGCCAGGTGTGCTGACATAAAGCAAGACATCTTTCGCAGCTGACTATTTGCAAGATCCGGAATAAGTTCTCAATCTTCCCATCGCCCACAGGTTTGGGGGACCAAAGATCCCCCCCCTCGCGATGAGCCAGAACCATCGTCGTCAGCGTCCTCCGTGGCCGGTAGGAGGCGCTAGAGGCCCGCAGTGTGTCGGAGCTCAGGCTTCTGCCTCCCTACAAATAGCGTCAGTCTCTTGGTCCTAACCCTGCGCCCATTTAATAGACGCGGTTCCGGCCCAGGCTGGAGTCAGGTACCCGTTACGGAACAGACCCAGAATTCAACCTTAAAAGCATTCATCTCCAAAATCCCTGCCCCGGTCCTCTCCTGTGCTCACTGCACACTTGGTGCAGCAAAACCTCAGGCGTGGGTTCGGATCCCCCTTCCTACGCTGCTGGCCTGGTGCTGTCAGGGAGGACAGCGCGCCCTAGAGCTCAGCTTCCCTGTGCAGTCGCGATTATTAGGAATTATTAGGATGGAGGTGTAAGTGGGCTCCCACTGGCACGGGCCGGCACCGTGAGTGCCTAGTAAACTAGTGAACAGTGACAGGGAGGAAACACCCCGATCCGGGCCAGCCGGGCGGGGTGCAGGCCGGACGTCCCCGGTGGGCCGGCGGCGGCGGCGCAGCCTCTCCCGGCAGTAATCAGCCCCCGCTCTCGGCTCCGCCAGCCGCTAATTACACGTCTCCTAATGAGGCCGGCGGCTGTTTGCAAGCACCCGGGTCCCCGCCCCGCGGGGGCGGCCGTGGTGGGCCAGCGGCAGGCGGAGGAGGGGGCTGAGGCTTAGAGGGACGGACGCACGCAGGCATGACTCACGCGGGGAGACAGCCTGATCCCCGCTGAGCCCGGACCTGTGCGCCCATCCGCGCACATTCACCCATCCGCGCTTACTCGTCTTACTGCGGTCAGATGGGCGTGCCTGGATCGGAACGGATCTACTTTAAAACAACTCATGTAACCCGTTATCAGACTGGAAGTTTGGACGATTCCCTAGGAAAAGGTTGGGGTAGTTGCTAATAAAACGCTCAGTTTAGGGGTTCAGGTGAGATTCAAAGTGGGGGAGGAGCTTGTTGTGAAGGCTGAAGATATGAGTTGGATCTCGGAGACGGACAAAGTTGTCCTCTAACCTCCACGTGTGTACGCGTACCCACCTCTCCCTAAATAAGTTTAGATGGGGGCAGCAAGAGGCAGAGCCATTGCTCACCTTTTCTTCTTTGAGACAGGGTCTCAGTATGTGTCCCTGGCTGGCCCGGAACGCACCCTGTAAATCATGGTAGCCTCGCACTCAGAGGTCCACCCGTTTCTGCCGCCTCTGCTGGTATTAAAGGTATGAAGTCCTTTGCCCAGCTTTAGGGTGCTTTTACTCTGAGATGCTGGAGGTGTATTGCGGGGACTGAGCAAGTGCTCTTGTTGCCAAGGTACAACCTGGGGCTTTCTCGGGGGCTTCGGCAACGAGGGAGTCCCTTTCAGAGTCTAGATGGCGGCATGGAGGATGCTGGCAGGAGACTCGAACCTGATTGGCAGGCCCTGTGCCTCGAAGCCTGTCAACCCATTTCCTGTTTCTCTCATTTGTTTTTATTTTTTAAGGAATAAAAAAAACACATAGTTTGGAGACGATTTAGATAAAATTGAGGCTTCCATTTGCCAGGCCGGGGCTAGGAGAACCACTGTGTGTGAGAGGTGGAAGCAGGTTTCCTCCCTGAACCTCAGACGGAGTGCTCCAGAGTGCTCCGCATCCTGTTGCCTAGTTCTCACTGCCCTGTGGACATCTTTTCCAGCCACTGGCTTTGGGGACATGTCCCAAGTGCAGTACTCTTTGCTTTAACTCTGTCTCCACCAGGGCTTTCTACCACAGAGAGGGTTTTGTTTTTGTTTTTTGGTATTTGAGTGCTTTGCTGTCGTGTGTATCTGTGCACAGTATTTTGGGAAGCCAGAAGAGGGCGTGGGTTCCCGCGGAACTGGAGTTACAGATGGTTCCAGCCACCATGTGGGTGCTGGGGACAGAACCCAGGGCCTCAGGAAGACCAGCTAGTACTCTAAACCGCCCGAGCCACCTCTCCAACACCCACGCAGTGCTTGTGACACTCCTTTCTCAAAGGACAAAGTGAATGAGGATAGCGCGCTTGCACGTGTGTGTGTGTGTGTGTGTGTGTGTGTGTGTGTGTGTGTGTGTGTG